ATCCTAACTGATGCAGACGTGAAGAGTGGTATTCACACATCCTTCACACTGGTATAGAGGTGTGAAGTTTTGCTATTTCATTCAAACTTCACACATCCTAAGTGACGCAAGTGTGAGAAGCAGTTTTCACACGTCCTTCACACCTGTGCAGAGCTGTGAAAGGTGGGAGGCACTATTCATTCCCCAAGGTGTGAAGTTTTACACATGTTGATTGCAATTCACCCACCATCCTAAGTGATGCAAGTGTAAGAGAAACATTGACGCATCCTTCACACCTCTTTACAGGTGAAAAAAGTAAAATTAACAAAGTTAAAGCGCCAAGTGTGAAAAGTGGGAACCACACTCTGCCTCTCTGGCTATTCCATCCATATCTTTCATTGTGTGTGACAAATTCACTGGCTCATCTTCACACAGACAGTTGAATGTCGGCGTCAAGTGTGGGAACTACATCACACATGTGCATTAAAAATATGGGGAGGTACGGGTGTCGCTTTCATTACATGCATGTAAATTCAGATAAATCTATATGAACTACTTGAAACACCTGTTATTTCAAGCATAATCAAACTCATCTTCAATGTGCTTGAAAAATTCTTCATCATAACCATCATCTTCCACATTTGCTTCTTCTTCACCCACAATGGTGGGAACACGTACCATTCTTTCCCACTCTGCAAGACACTTTTTAACCATGTTTCTCCACTTATCTTGTAATTCATCATCGCTGCCTGTTTCACATACATTGTAAGGTTCTGATTCATGCAGTAAACTGATGATTGTTCCATTCCAGCTTAACCATAACCGCCAAGCTTCTCGTGATAAAGTAGATGTCATTGCCAGCATCATCTCTTTATCCTTGGCCCATGTTGGGATGAGGTCTGCGATACACAGAAGTTTTTGGTTGGTTATCATCAAGCACAATCTATTATGGACAAAATATGTCACTGACCATTGGTGATATCTTGACGTAGGTTGTCAATCTTCCCTTGGTAATGAAGAGCCCAGTTAAGCATTTGCCTGACCTCTTTCGCAATTCGACGAAGCTCTTCTGTACACCGACAGACACTGATGTAAGCTTCGATGCCTTCTTGGGTAGCATCGTCTACGGCCCAAGGCTTGGTAGAGTGAATGAGGCTTCCAAAGTTGAGAAAAGGATGACTTATATCCATTGCTTCAACCTCTGGAAGAGTAGGGGTGGCGAGTAATGAGTTAGGAGTGAACTGCTCATTGTATTGCTTTGCAAGTCGGATATACGTAGCATGCTTTCGTCGCAGTTGAGTATTCTTCAATAGTCGCAAGGTATTCATTTTCTTTTGAACATTGGTTCCTGCGATCGGCGAACATGTCAATGGAGTATTGGTTTAGAAGGACCAACTGGACATACCTCGTGCATGACCAGCTCTTCTTCTATGCTCAATTACGCCAACCTTGGCACCCAGCAGCTTGCCTTTGGCCACACAAATTTTGACTAGAGGTTTTGCTCGTTCATCTGAGGTGGGAAAGATTGCATCAGTTCAGCCAGCTAAGTTAAGTCATTGACACCATAAAGCTTGATATTTCACCGTCTGTCCCAGTGAGTTCACATAACTCTACATCTCCCAGCTTCTCAGTGACTCGGTCAATGGCTTTTTCAAGCAATACCAATGTGTTAGGAACACCACTGGCTTGTCTATTACTCCTACGACGGCGCCTGAACCGTTTCTTCCTGTCCAGGCATTCCAGCTTTTCCCTGATTGTCAATTGCAATCTCATTCAGCCTGTCGCACTTGACTGCCTGCCTGACAGTGAATATGACTTACTGAGCAACCACTAATTGCTCCTCCAAATCCACGAGTTCGGCCACGTGTTCCAAGTAATCTGCGCTTGTTTGGCTGATAGTTTGGCTTTGTATTGCTTTCTTACGCTCCCATTGAGTCTTGAAGTAATCTTCCGTATGGCCATGCTGGCGGTTGAGGTGCCTCATTATCCCTCTCGCTTCTGAGAGTTTTTTCTGAGTCTTATGCAGATGACCCAGGCTGCGCGCGGCTTTTTGGTTCAAATCGAGTATATCAGTTGATGCTTGGATAGAGTTGAAGGCTCTCCTACCTGATTTATGTCTTCCTCGTGCATTCCGGTGCATAGCTCGAAAGTTCAGTGCTGTCAGGCGATGCTGTTTGGTTGAGTA